TCCAGCCTTTGTAACACATAGCAACCTACGAAGGCTCGATCTTCGTCGTCGTCGCTGCCCGACGGCGCTGGCGCTGGCGCCAGCGACGGCGCTCGCCGTCGTCGGTTGCCACTGGGGAAGGAGGAGGAGGGGGGGGGGCGGTTCGAATCCCCACCCCTTGCAATTCACGGGGGGGCGGTTCGAACCCCCTCCCCCCCCTTGAGGCCGCCCCCCCCCTGTTCGAACCCCTCCCCACCTTGCAATCCAGGAATGCGGGGAGGCGGGTTCGAGCTCCCCTCCGTCCAAGCGCCCACAGGACGCGCTCTTTCGGACATGTTCGGCCCCACCGGACTCAGAACGTGTCCAATCCACCGCCCAGCGACGTCCCTGAAGATCGATTCGTCAGCCAGTGGCCCCACGGCTGCTGCTTTTCTGAGAGGCACAATCGGCCCATATCATAAGAATGCGCGGTAAGATAAGGATGCAAGGGCCTGAGACGCCCATTTCCAAGCTTTTCGAGAGGGGCGCGGCCAACGAAAGTGACGAGGGATGGACCAAGGAGGCAGGGATGCAGGGATACCCTTGGGAAGGTTTCCCTTCCTTACTATGCGGGCTGACTGTAGAGGATCAAACGGTCTTAAGTACTCTTGCCGCAAACGGGCCAGAAGGGACCGAAGAGGCCGCCGAGACGGCCTAAGAGAGCCTCGAGTCGTCTCAAGATCGCCCCCAGACCCCCAAGACGGCTTCAAGACGGCCTAAGTGGCATCCGAAAAGGCTCAAATGAGCACCACGTGCGGTCCCAAGAAATCGAGAGGCCAAAATCGTTTCAATCCCTTTGGACAGATACATGTTTAGCATGTCCGTCTTTTCGGGTTGCACAACGTCCCAGGCCACCCTGGAGGCCTTCAAGATCGTCCCAAGACAAGCCCACGAGGCCCCCAAGAGGCCAAAAGGGCCCTAAGACAGTCCAAGCGGGCCCCAAGACAGCCCAGCAGACGCCCAAGACCGTCCCAGAGGGCACCAAGAAGGCGCCCAGAGGGGCCCCACAGGGGGAACACGAACGGACTGTTTGGGCTCTCCGCCCCAGGAGACCCCAGGAGGCTTCAAGAAGCCCCGAAGAGGCCCCAAAGAGGCCCCAAGAGGCCCCAAGAGGCCCCCGAGAGGCCCCCAGGACGCGCCAAGATACCCCTCAAGACGCTCCCATAAGGCCTTAAAAACTGCCCCCCCCCCCCCCCCCAAGGCTCCAGGGAGCCCTCAGACCACAAGAAGCATCCATGAGGACTCTGACCCACGACCCAGGCATGGTGGCGGGATGAGCCGAAGGCCACTAGATCCGCCGCCCCCTGTTGATTCATCACAGGGGTTCCTGGCGTGCTGGATCCTCTCGGTTTTGGTTCGTTTTCCAAAAGAACTCCCCCTGGGGCTTCGGCCCGTCCCGCCAGCTGCCTGCCTCGTCGGCTTCTTCGCTCAAGATGGCCCAAGATGGCCTTAAAGATGCCTCCAAGACAGCCAAGATGGCCTCCAAGACAGCTAAGATGGCCTGAAGACGCCTCCAAGACGGCCCAAGATGCACCCAAGACGGCCTAAGATAGGCTCAAGATGGCCCAAGACGGCCTAAGAGGCTTCCAAGAGGCCTCCAAGAGGCCTCCAAGGTGGCCCAGGAGGCCTCCAAGAGGTGCAAGAGGTCCCCAAGAGGCCTCCAAGAGCTCCTCCAGGAAGGTTCGTTGAGGTCAACATCTGTGATGGATCCTAGGTGTTTGAAGGATGTTGGTGTTTGCTCCTTTTCGGCCTTCCGACGGCCCAAGACTGCCCAAGAGGCCATCAAGATCGCCCCACGAGTGCCCAAGAAGCCTCCAAGACGGCCCCAGGACGGCCCAAGAGGCCCCCAAGACGGCCCCAACAAGGACCAAAGACAGCCCAAGAGGCCCCCAAGACGCCCAAGATGGCCTCCAAGACGGCCAAGATGGCCTCCAAGATGCATCCAAGACTGCCAAGATGGCCTCCAAAACGGCCAAGATGACCCCAAGATGCACCCAAGACGGCCCGAAATGGCATCAAGATGGCCTAAGACTGCCCAAAAGGCCAGCAAGAGGCCTCCAAGACGGCCCAATAGCCCTCCACGACGTCCTCCAGGAAAGCCCCGCAGGGTTAAAATCATGGATTTCCCGAAGGGTTTTTGATGGATGGTGGCTTTTGCTCTTCTTTAGCTGTCCGACGGCCCAAGACGGCCCAAGCGGCCCCCAACATCGACCCAAGAGCGCCCAAGAGGCCTCCAAGATGGCCCCATGACAGCCCAAAGGGTCCCCAAGACGGCCCCAAGGCGGCCCCAAGACGGCCCAAGAGGCCCCCAAGACGCCCCAGATGGCCTCCCAAACGACCAAGATGGCCTCCGAGATGCCTCCAAGACGCCCAAGATGGCCGTGAAGACGGCTAACATGGCCCGACGATGCACCCAAGACGGCCCAGGATGGCCTCAAGACGGCCCAAGAGCCCTCCAAGACGTCCTCCAGGAAGGCCCGAAAGGGCCAAAATCATTGAGGTTCCTATGGTTTGGGGAGGATTTCTGAATTTTCTTCTTGTCAACTCTCCGACGGCCCAAGACGGCCCCATGACAGCCCAAGAGTTCCCCAAGACGACCCCGAGGCGGCCCCAGGACGGCCCAAGAGGCCCCCAAGACGCCCAAGAAGGCCTCCAAGACGGCCAAGATGGCCTCCAAGATGCCTCCAACACGCCCAAGAAGGCCTCCAAGACAGCGAAGATGGCCCCAAGATGCACCCAAGGCGGTCCCAGATGGCCTGAAGATGGCCTTCGACTGCACAAGAGGCCCGCCAGAGGCCTCCAAGACGGCCCAAGACCCCTCCAAGACGTCCTCCAGGAGGCCCGAAAACTCAGAAACCACCTGGTCCGATAGCTCGCCCGACTCGGTGTTCCCCGAAGGCTTTCGAAACCCACTCGTGGATCGCATGGCCCGATAGCTTGGCCAAGCTCAAACCCAACTTTCGGCCACGCAGGCGCTTCCAAAAAGACAGGAGGCGGCGGTGATTCGCCGTAGGCGTCCTCGAGTTGCCGCCCCCTGCTGATCAATCACAGGGGTGCCTGGCGTGCTAAATCCAACCGGTTTCGGTCTTGTTCTTTTCCAAAAGAACTCCCCCGGGGGCTTCGGCCCAGCGCGCCGGCCCCACGGAAAGCCGCCGAAAGGGACCAGAAACGACCTCAACGTCCGCAACAAATCGTCCGAGACCAATCAAAATGGCCTCCGAGAGGGCAAGATGGCCTCCGCGTTCGGCCGTTCTGGAGCCATCTTGGAGGCCTCTTGGGCGACCTTGGGGCGATCTTTGCGGGCTCTTGGGCTGTTCGGGGCCATCGGAAGGCCGAAAAGACGCACATGCCCAACTCCTTCAAAAACCTAAGGAACATCGATGACTTCGGCCTCTTCGGGCCTTCCTGGAGGGCTTCTTGGAGGCCTCTTGGGCTGTCTTGGAAACCTCTTGGGGGCCTCTTGGGACGTCCTGGCCTGTCTTGGAGGCTTCTTCGGCAGGCTTGGAGATATCTTGTACTCTTTCGGGGTTTCTTGGAGGCCATCTTGGACCTTCTTGGCCCAAGAAGGCCCCCAAGACGACCCCAAGAGGGCCCCAAGACGGCCCAAGAGGCTTCCAAAACACACCAGGTAATCTCTAAGACGGCCCTGGAGCACCCCAAGCCGGCCCAGAGAGGCCCTCAAGACGGCTTCCGACGGCGTCAGAAGGGCCAGGAGGCCTTCAAGACGGCCCAAGATGACTCGAAGATGACACAAGACGGCCCAAGAGGCCCCCAAAACGGCCCAAGAGGCCTGCAAGAGGCCCTCCAGAAGGCCCGAAGAGGTCGAAGTCATTGATGTTCCTCAGGTTTTTAAGGATTGCGGCGGTTGCATCTTTTCGGCCTTCCGACGGCCCGAGACGGCCCAAGAGCCCCCAAAGATCGCCCCAAGATCGCCCGAGAGGCCTCCAGGATGGCCCTAGAACGGTCCAATAGGCCTCCAAGACGGCCCCAAGAGTGCCCCAAGACGGCCCAAGAGGCCCCCAAGACGCCCAAGATGGCCTCCAAGACGGCTCTGGAGCACCCCAAGAGGGCCCCAAGTCGGCCCAGAGAGGCCCCCAAGACGACTGCCGACGGCGTCAGAAGGGCCAGGAGGCCATATCAAGACTGCCCAAGATGCCTCGAAGATGGCCCAAGACGGCCCACGAGGCCCCCAGGAAAACGCCCCAAGAGACCCCCAAGATGGCCTCCAGGAAGGCCCGAAGAGGCCATGTGCCTCAAGTTTTGACGGATTTGGGCAATTGATTCTTGTCGGCCTTCCGATGGCCCCGAACGGCCCAAGAGCCTACAAAAATCGCCAAACAAGATCGCCCAAGAGGCCTCCAGGATGGCCCCAGAACGGCCAGACGGCCCTGGAGCACCCCAAGAGGGCCCCAATTCGGCCCAGAGAGGCCACCAAGACGACTGCCGACGGCGTCAGACGGGCCAGGAATGCCTTCAGACGGCCAAAAAGGCCCACGAGAAGCCCCCATAGACCCCCGAGAGGCCCAAGGAGGCTCCCAAGATGCCTCCAAGAGGCTCCAAGGAACCTCCCAGGAGGCTCCAAGAGTGCCCCCAGAGGCTCCCAAGATGCCCCCTCCTCCTCCTCCTCCTCCTCCTCCTGATCTTCCCCGCCATCCTCCCCCAAGTGTTCCCCCAAATGGCTTCTGCAACGGTTGGGGGGAACACATGGCCCGATAGCTTGGCAGAGCTCTTGCCACAACGCTTGGCCACATGGGCGATTCCAAAAGGCAGGGGGCGACACTGATCCGCCGTAGGCGTCTTCGATATCAGTGGCACGCCGGCGTGGGGAACCCATCAGCATGTCAGTGCTGAAGAAACACCGGGTCTCGGGACAAAACAAGGGAGCGGCACGCTGACGTGTTCACGACGGTGACGTGTCATTGATAGTAGTTGTTCCTCTCCACTCCCAGGTGAGCCCAAGCATGGCAGGCGCGCATCCCGCTTTAGCGAGGCAGCAAGGTTCTACCCTCCATGAGCTCGAGACTGCGGCTGCGGCGGGCACGAAGGGAACCAGAGGCGCTCAGTGCAGCAGGCGGAGTGCCCGAGACGGAGCAGTAGACGTGCAAACGACGACGACGCAGCCAGGGCACTGAGACTGTTTTTTCCCCCGCCCGCGTCGTGGACAAGCCCCCGCCGTCGGAGAAGACGGCAGCGGCAGCGGCAGCGGCACGCGTCGGGCAGGCCGTGCTCGCGCCCGGGCGGCGCGTCGCGCTGCTGCGGAGAGCCCTTCGCGGGCCGCCACCGCCGAGGCGAGCGGGGGCGGCGCACGCCCCCGGCTGGCCGCCCGGGTGGGGGCCGAGCGGGCGCGGTCGGAGGATTCGCAGGCGCCTTGCAGGCGCAGCGGCGGCGCGTCGGCGGACGCCGCGGTGGAATGCAGCGGGCTCCGCGGCACGCCGCGTGGCCGGTGCATCGGCGAGGCGTCGCGGTCCTCCGACAACGCCGGCTCCGATCCGAACTGGGCGGCCTGGAGACGAGCATGCCGATGGAAAGCCGCGGCCGTCGCCCCGTGCCGATTCGCACACTTCAGCTATACACCACCACCACCACTGGCCAGGGCCGCCCTCTGAACCTGGGATTGTGCGTACAGCGTCCTGGCCTCTTGTGGCATATTGGGTTCCCTGGATGCTCTCCTGGGAGGGTCGGGGTCTTCCTGCCGACACCTGCACGCCAGAGCGGCCCAAGAGATCGTCTCTTTTATTCCGGCGATCACCCAAGTTATCCGGTGGGGTGGGGGGGGAGAGGGGAGGTGCTGGCCGATAACCTGAACCTTTTCGCTCTGGACAGCCCCACGTATGCCCGCGCGCAAAAATACCGCGTTCCCCTTGCGGACCTGAGCAGCCGACCAGGTCAGGCTATCCGGGGGCGAATGGGGGGGGGCGAGCGGGCCCGATAACCCGGGCTGTCGTCGGACCCCTCAAAACACACTCTCCAGGAGACCGCCCTGCACACCATCCCAGGGCCCACGATGGCCCTGGCCAGGGGCGGTGGTGGAGCACGGCTGCCCTCTGTGGAGCCGGACGCGAGCGGCTGGAGCGGCCTCAGCCCATCCCTTCCTCTCTGGCAGCCTCCCGCAGCAGCTCCTCCGCCCTCTCGGGATCCTCGGCCTGCCTCTCCAGCTCCGCCTCGGCGCTGGTCCGCTCCACCTCCCCGTGGTCCATCGGGCCGTCTGGCCGGGGAGGGCTCATCAGCCGCAGCCTCTGAGCACCGTTTAACAGATCCCGATCCCCACTGGCGTGGCTTTGGCCCCACAGGCTGATTTACTAGTCCAGATGGATAGACGTGTATACGGATTCACATACATAGCTATGATAGAAGCATGCATGTAGGTGTATGAACGTATGTTAGATATATAACCTATAGATGTGTATATATGTATACATGTTTGCATGCGTGTATGTGTATATGTGCGTATGTGTACATGCATGACTGTATGTATATGTATATATATATATATGAATGGTTGTGTGTGTGCTTGCATGTATGTATGTGCGTAATTATGAATATACGTATGTACGCATGTACGTATGCATGTATGAAGGTATACATGTAGGCATGAACTTATGCATGCATGCATGCATGTATGCATGAGTGTTTGTGTGAATGTATATATACATATATGTATATGCATGTATGTATGTGTGTGTTGCAATGCGTGTATGTGTGTATGTATGCTTACATGCATGCATGCATGCATGCATATGTGCATATATGCATATATGCATGTGTATGTATGCATGTATGTATGCATGCAAATCAATATGCCAAGAAGTATGTCTGTATGAATACGCGAATGTGTGATTGTATGCATGTATGTAGGCTTGTATGTATGCATGCATGCATGAACGTATACATGTATGTATGCGTGTATGGATGCTGATATGGATGTGTATGCATGCATGCATGCATGCATGCATGTATGTATGGATGCATGTGTGTATGTAAGTGTGTACGCTTGTATGTATACATGCAGGTGTATGTGTGCACTCATGCATGCATGCACGTATGCATGAATGTGTGCCTGTGTGCTTGTGTGCATGCTTTTATGTATGCATGGATGCATGCATGCATGTATGTGTGCATGCATGTGTGCATGCCTGTACCTATGTATCTGTGTATACATGCATTCATGTATTTGCGTATGTATGCATGTATGCATGTATGCATGTGTACATGTGTATAGTCGTATGCATACATGCAGGCATGCAGGCATGTTATGTATGTGTGTAAGTGTGTATGCATGTGTGTACGTAGGTATGTCCGCATACATGCATGCATGTATGTATGCATGAATTGATGTATACGTGTTGGTATGTATGTTTGTGTTGTATGTATGTGTGTATGCAGACATCAAGTAATGTATGCATGTATGTGTATGTGTACGCATGTATGTATGTATGTAGAGGGCAGAAAATCCACCCCGATAATAACCATCCCGACACGAGAGGCCTTGAGTAAACGCGCCCAAAGAAGGAATCGAACACGGCAGGGCTGTTTAGTAAACGCCCAGGGCCGTTTAAACAACGCCAATTGTCCCGTCCGGGAGGTTTTTCCTCCCTTGAGCATGTATGCGTGCATGCATGTATGTATGAATGTGTGAAGCTGTTGTTGTATGTATGTGTGTTTGTATGATTGCATATATGTGTGCATGTATGCATGCATGCATTCATGCATGTATGTATGTGTGCATGTGTGTATATGTGTCTGTATGTGTGTATGTATGGCTGCATGCATGCCTGCCTGCATGCATGCATGTACGTATGGATGTATGTGTGTATGTGTATGTGTATGTGTGCATGATCATGCGTGGGTGCGTGGGTGTATGTGTGCGTGCATGTATGCATGTATGTGTGAATGTGTGTGATTATGTATGTTGTATGTATGTATGAGTGGTGCGTGCATGCTGTATGGTGTATGTTGTATGGACGTGGTATGTTGTATGTGTGTATGCTGTGGTTGTTGCATGTTGTATGTTGTATGAATGTGTACACGCATGAAAGTATGTATGTGTGTATGTGTATGTGTGTATGCATGCATGCATGTATGTATGGTTGTATGTATGTATGTATGCATGCATATATGTGTATGTGTATCGTGATGTTTGTATGTTTGCATACATGCATGCAAGTGTGTGTATGCATGCATGTGTGTATGTATATATGTATACATGTATGTGTATGGATGTAAGCATGCATATATGTATGTATGCATGTATGTGTATATGTATGTGTGTACGTGCGGTTGCTTGTATGGTTGCATGGGTGTATCTATGTATGTATGCATGCATGCATACATGCCTGCATGTGTGCATACTTGTATGTATGTGTGTTTGTAAGTGTGTGTATGTTTTTTATGGATGGATTGGTGAATGTATGAACTTATTGATGTGTATGTGAATATATATATATATATATACACATATGTGTGGATGCATGCATGGTTGCATTCATGCATGTATGTATGTGTATAGATGCCTGCTCTTTCCGGCTTCCACCTAGGAGGTTTGTTTGCGCGACCGAGATGCCCTGGCCCAGTGAGGCTGGGGATAGGCTCCCAGACCCTCGATGCCCTAACTTTTTCCATTCGGAGTCCCCAGAAATCCCAGACATTCGATGTGGGGACAGGCTTCCAGACATTCGATGTCCTAACCTTGTCCGTGCGGGGTCCCAAGAAGGCCCGCCCCCTTTCCCAGGACCGGCTTCTCATCCCGAGTTGTGTTTGACGTTCCCAGGGCCCAGCGAGGGCCCCTGGAGGCAAAACACTGGCCCCCAATCCCTCGGGCCTGCTTTTTTTTCTCGACGCGAGCATGTCTGGGTGGGGTGCTGCCAAACCTGTAGCCCTTGTTTTCACTACTCGCGATCACGCCCGTGAGCAGCCTGGCCCCCCTCCGCCCCCCACCCCCCCTGAACACGTCACGACTCGCGTCGGTGCCGTCTGGGAAGAAGGCAGTCTTAAGCATTCCACGGCCCCAGCGCGAATTATGGCTGACCCCAAGAGGCCGACCCCCATCAGCAGGGGCAAAGAACCCCCCCGGGTCACGCCCGCATCGCAAGGGGATAAAAAACGCTGTCCATTTTGGGCGCCCGAATTGGGTACAGAAAAGACAGGTACGATGGCCACCAGCAAGCGTTATCGAAAACTCACAGCGGCCGCTGTTGGACAGGCGGCTCTCTGTCGCCGAAAGCGACTCCTGTTCAAAGTGAGCAGGACATGCTGTCGGTCTTGATACCCATTTCGATCGCACCGAGCCTTTAGAGGCCTCCTAGATGGGATCCTCAGGATCGCGCGGCATCGCCGATGCATCAACCAGCATAATAAGGATGGGCAACCTTCCCAAGGGTATCCTTGCATCCTTGCCTCCTCGGTCCATCCTTGGCCACTTTCGTTGGCCGCTCCCCGCTTGAAAAGCTGCGAAATAGGCGTCCAAGGCCCTTGCATCCTCATCGTGCATCCTTCTGATACGGACCGACTATATACTTCCAGGGAAGGCGGCAATGCACAAGGTCGCTGGTTCTTCGTGGTGATGTATGAAACCGCCACCCTCCCCTGAGGCCCAGAAACAATCCATTGGAGGGCATCAATGTGTACACATATAAGCATATATATATATATATATAAGTGTATATATCTACAAATATGGCGGACATACCCATGTCGATCGTATCGAGGGCCTCGGGGACGGATGCGGCAGCAGCGGTGGCGACGAAGGCCATGGGAGGCCCCAAACAGGCGAAATCGAGGCGAGGGCAGCAGTATGGGCACCCATTCCTCCACTGAGTACCAAAAGGCCTCGGGGACGGATGCGGCAGCAGCCCGGCGCCGGCCGCGCCCGCGTCACCCGCCTCGGCGCCGCCGCCCGCAGCGCCTGCCAGCCGGCCGGCCACCAGCGGCCCCTCCGGGGCCGTGGGCGCCTCCGGCCCCGCGGCAAAGGCCGAGTCGCCGCCCCTGGGAGCCGTGGTGCGGCGGCAGTCGCCCTGGTGGGAAAGCGGCACCTCCGCCTCCTCCGCCTCCTCCGCCGACTCCTCCTCCTGCTCCTCCTCCTGCTCCTCCTCCTCCTCCTTCTCCTCCTCCTCCTCGTCCTCCTCCTCGTCCTCCTCGTCCTCCTCCTCCTCCTCCTCCTCCTCCTCCTCCTCCTCCTCCTCCTCCTCTGATTAGCATTACTCTTCTTATACTTACTACTAGTATGAATATTCCTCTATGAGTATTATCATGACTGTTCTTACTCGTCGTGATATTGATATTACTGGAATTATCCGAAGTATGCTTGAACTTGCTCGTAATAGTAGCATGATTTTTATTAAATATATTATACACATGTGGAATCGCACGTTTACTACGTGTTCTTCGTCGTAATAATAATACTATTGCTGTTATTATGAATAGTATTAACATGACTCCTCCTTCTCCGCTCCTCCTCCTCCGCCTCCTCCTCTTCCTCCTCCTCCTCCGCCTCCTCCTCCTCATCCTCCTCCGCCTCCTCCTCCTACTACTCCTCCTCCGCCTCCCCCTCATTCGCCTCCTCCGCCGCCTCCTCCCACCTCCTCCTGCCTCCTCCTCTTCCTCCTCCTCCTCCTCCTCCTCCTCCTCCTCCTCCTCCTCCTCCTCACCTACACACCGAGCCTGGCCAGATTGGTCCCGTGCCCAGGATCGTGAGCTCGCTTCGGAGCTGAGGCCCAGTGGGAGGGCGAAGAGGGGCGAAGTACGCGGGGGGGGGGCGAGTGGGGAGGGGGATGGAGAGGTCAATCCGATACTTACTCAGCCCAGCGAGCGCTGGCTGACGGTAAGCCCAAGCCTTTTTGCCCAAGCCAGGAGTGCGCGCCCTCCCGGCTTGGGCAGGAGGGCGCATACACCGATCCTGGGCTCAAGATCGGCCTGGAAAGGGTCGGTGACGGTGTGGGTTCCCTGAGATCTAACGTCGCGGAAGAATACAACATCGCAACAAAAACGACGGTAGCCCTAGAACACATCTTTCTGCTGCACGTTTCGAGCCAACTCGACCCGTGAGGGTCCCAGGGCCCGAAACCAGCCGAAAACACTAGTTGTGAAGGACATTGCAACCCCCAGGTCTCAAGGGTTGGCGCCCTCCGACCTTGGGGACACCCAAAAGGTACCGATGCCGCTGCTCCCCGGACCTCTCCCAGGGGTCTGCCTGACCAGCGGTGGCGACGAGGGCCCCCCCCAGGAGGCCCGCGCAGCGAAACGCGAGGGCATCCGCTCTTCCTCCCCCGAGGCCCTGCAGTCGCCCAGGAACGCGCCCAGCGCACGCCGCGACCGCCCGCCCCCGCGGGCCGCGGCGCCCGCGCACGGGTCCGCCAGCAGGCCCGTGGCGCGGGCCGAGGCGGAGGCCCCGCGGCGCCCGCCGCGCGCCGGGCCGCCGAGGAGGCCGCCCGGGGCCTCCTCGCCGGGCAGGGGGCCCGCCGCCCTGGCGCGCCCGAGCGCGGGCCAGGCCAGCAGCTCCAGCGGCGGGCGCGGCGCCATTGGGCGAGGGCCTCCACCACTGCGACGGGTAGGGCGGGGGAGAAGGAAGGACGGGGAGGTCCTCCTCCTCCTCCGCCTCCTCCTCCTCCTCCTGCTCCTCCTCCTCCTTTCCTTTTCCTCCTCCTCCTCCTCCTCCTCCATTCCTGTTCCTTATTCAATAACTGCCCCCTGTCGCACCCCGAGGCCAGCTTTTAGGGCGGGCCGGGCGTTTCGCCTGAGACTCCCTCACCATTTTTGAGCCTGGAGCTCAAGAAGTGGCAACAGTTTCACAGATGGAGGCGCAAATTCGTTTTGAAAAAGTGCAAGAGTTTCACGGATTGAGGGCGGGTCGTTTTCAAAATGTGGCTCTCGCCTTAGCGCCGCGCACATTCGTTCTAAGCATGTGCAAGAGTTTCACGGATTGAGGGCGGCTCCTTTTCAAAATGTGGCTCTCCCCTTAGCGCCGCGCACATTCGTTCATAAAATTGGGAATAGTTTCGCGGATTCCCATGATCAGCGTACCAGAAATGGTCTTTTGGAACGATTCAAGAGCATGCGGGTGCAACAGTTATGTTGATTCGCGGTGTTGAGGTCCCAGAAATGGCGTTCTGGCACGGTTCCAGATCGTCAAGACGCAGCAGTCAGGTTGACCCGTTGCGTTGAAATCCAGAAGATAATGTTTTGGCATGCTTCAGGGTCTTCAACGGTGTCTTCCAACGAGGCAACTCCCTCAATGGAAATAACACGTTATAGGGGCCTATGAAGAGGGAGCCTGGAGGGAGGGTTATTTCCAACATCGTTGATGACTCTTTCGTTTACACTGGTCCACCTCCTCCTCCTCCTCCTCCTCCTCCTCCTCCTCCTCCTCCTCCTCCTCCTCCTCCCCCTTCTCCTCCCCCTCCTCCTCCCCCCTCCTCCCTCCTCCTCCCTCCCCTACCGAATGGTGGTGGCAGATCAGCACATCAGTTGGGGCCGCGGCGCCGAGGTCGCCTGGGGCGCGCAGGGCCCCGGCGGGAGCTCGAGCCTGGGCAGCCGTCGCGCCGCGGCCGCGGACTTTTTGTCGGAGCTCGGCCGGCGCGGGCACCAGTCGGGCGGGCCCAAAGGGCAGCCCTCCGGGGCGCCACTGCGGGGTGCACACGCAACTCCGTCGCGCTGCCCGCAGGGCCCCCAGGGCAGCTGGCGCTCGCAGCCGCGTGCGGCTGTCGCGTTGCCCCTGTCGAGGTCGCCTGGGAAGCGCAGGGCCCCGGCGGGAGCTTGAGCCTCCCAGGAGGCCACGGACGGTCCCAGACATGTCCCGGGATCTGCGGGTTCGCGCCACATGCCACTGGCGCCGCCGCGGGCAGGGGGCCCAGAGGCGGGCGGCGCCCCCAGAGGGCACGGCAGCGCACTTGCCTCAAAGCGGCCAGCCGGTCGGGATCCACCGCGGCCCCACGATTCGGGGGGGGGGAGGAAAGAAGGTCGGCGGTGGACAACCCTCCCTTTAGTAGACCTCCCCTTAGTGAAAACGGCCTGGGACCGAAACCGACGGGCCTGGACCCGCAAAAATGACGACCGCGACGCCCTCTCGCGAGCCGAAAACGGCCACTTCCTTAATCGACGTGTTAGGGTAGGAGGTCTATCCACCTCCGAAAGGCGACAACGGAGGACGAGGAGGAGAGGAGGCGGGGCGCACGCCCGCGGCCAGGGACGGCCTCGGGGATCTCTCAGGTCCGGCGGTTGTGGGGGACGCGTCGGGCGCCGCGGCCGCTCTGGAGCGTGCCGGGACGCTCCGAGAGCGCCCCAGGAGGCTCTGCAGAGCGATCCAGCAGGGGATGTGTCGACCCCTGCCCCAGGCTTCGTGGAGTGTTCGAACGGACCAGAAATTTGGGGCCCAACCCTGGGACACGCGATGGAGGGGGGCAGCCATCCTCGATAGGAGTGCGTCCGAATACCCCCGTCGAGTAGCCCCCGTGGGGTGTATTCCAGAACTCCCCTCCTTTTCTGAGCGGCCTCATTTTCCGTCGAAAGGCTGGGGGCTTGGGGAGAAAACATCGCCTGCGACGATCTATCCCGAGCCTGGGCCTGGCCAAGAGTCTGCGGGCAGCCGCGGCGCCGCGCCCGCGAGCTTCGTCAGAGCTCGGCCACGCCGGCGGGATTCGAGGCGCGACGGGCCCTGCACAGGAGGAGGAGGAGGAGGAGAAGGAGGAGGAGGAGGACGAGGATGCTGCAGTGCGGCTGTCGTGCTGTTCCTGTGGTGCACGCGCACGCGCGCGCGCAAGGGGCCGCTCCTGCAGGCCCCCCATCGGGCGGAGCAGGTGAGGCCTGAGTTCGGGGTTGAGGGCGGGCGAGTCGGTGTGTGCGTGTGCGTGAATGAGTGTTGTCTTGTGTGCTGTGTGTTGCGTGTTGTGTGTTGTGTGTTGTGTATTGTGTGCTGTGTGTTGCGTGTTGTGTAATGTGTGTGTTGTGTAATGTGTGTTGTGTGTTGTATGCTGTGTGTGTTGTGAGTTGTGTGTTGTGTGTTGTGTGCTGTGTGTTGTTTTGTGTGTGTTGTGTGTTGTGTGTTGTGTGTTGTGTGTTGTGTGTTGTGTGTTGTGTATTGTGTGTTGTGTTGTGTTGTGTTGTGTTGTGTTGTGTTGTGTTGTGTTGTGTTGTGTTGTGTTGTGTTGCGTTGTGCTGTTGTTGCTGCTGCCGTTGTCATTGTTGTTGTTGTTTGTGTGTGTGTCGGCTCTCCCTGCGGGAAAAGCCGTCCTCCAAGAGTGCCTCGCGATGGTCCCGAGAAGCTGCGGGATTCGGAGGCGGGAGCTGTAGGCACCACCGCCATGTCCGGCAGGGGCAGCCCTGGGCCCTTGAATGGTGCATCCGGGCTCCTGGTCTCAACCAGGAGGGTGCCGAAGCCATGCGGACACTTCAAGATGTTCAATCCAAACCGCGACCTCCGAGGCACCACCGACTCTCCCGAGAGACCCCCAAACGCCCACCAGAATCCCCCCCTGCACAAAAACATCCCCCACATCTCGCTGGCGTCGCATAGTAGTCAGGAAACAAAGCTACCCTGGCGAAGGACCAAGCCATATGAAAGTGGGAATGCCGCCAGGGAGGTGGGACGCAGCAGGGGGAACAGCCTATGTGGCCACGAAACAAGCGAGGGGTGTACCGCGACACAGGCGGGGCGGCGCCATGAGAACCCTGCCACTGCCACCGTCGGTGGAGCTTCCCAGGGGGCCACGAAGCGTGTGAGGGGTGTGCAGAAATGGGCGGGGCGGGGCCAGACGGACCCTGGAAGTGGAGCTTCCCAGGGGGCCACGAAACGTGCGAGTTGTGTGCGGGAAGGGGGATGCGGAGGGCAGAGGTAGGGACGAGAGGGGAAGGGGTAATGAGGAGTCAAGGGGGAACGCGGGGCACGTGAACTCTGCCACTGGCGCCCTCGGTGGAGCTCCCTACTTACGCAGGACGAAAGATTTTCCGATTGAGGTGCAAATGGCGATGATAAGTTGGAAAATAATGACCGAACCCCCTTCCCCCGTAGAATCTGAACACGGTCGGATTCTGGGGTCCGCGGTTCCGATTTCTTCCGGTTCCACGTTTTCATGTAATACTAAACTCAAAACGGGGTAGAAATCGGATCCACCGTTAAAAATAAGGCCGAACACGGATCTAGCAAATCCGAGGTCGGATCCGCGCGGACGGAAATGGGATCCACCGCAACAAACACCAAAGCCACACTTGGATCCGCGCGAACCTCATGGGATCCGACGGCGGTTCTCTCACACGCGTCTGCTCAAGACTTCAGGCCGTCGTTCTGGGCCCAAAAGGAAAACCTGTCGTCCTGGGGATGTATGGGGCCACGATTCAGGCGAGGGGTGCACCGCAAAATAGGCAGGGGCGGCGCCATGCGAACCCTGCCACTGGCACCTTCGATTCCATGCGGCCACGCACCGTGTGAGGGATGTGCCGAAATGGGCGGGGCGGCGCCATGCGAACCCTTCCACTGGCGCCGTCGGTGGAGCTCCCTATGGGACCACCAAATGTGTGATGGTTATGCGGAGATGGGCATGCGAAGGGCAGAGGAAGGAATGGGGGGGAGGAGGAAGGAGTGAGGAGGGACGCGGGGCACGGTCTCTTGAAAACGAGGACCCAAACCCACATGGTGGTTTGGAAAAACGTGCAGCATCGAAACAAGGAACAGGTTTCCCCGACGCGGATGTCACGCAACAGTCCGAGAAAACCAGCACCACCCTACAGCTCCCCCATCCCACCGAGCGACGAGGCAGATGTTCAAGCACGCACGATGACACAAGGCGGGTCGGCAGAGCGCGCGAAGCGTTTGAGCGCCTGCTGTGTCTGACCTCTGGCCCGAGGTCCGTTCGAGATCTGCCCCCACGGGACCCTCCCAAACACCATGCTGGCAAGCCCTGCGACCCAATTCCAGGCGTGGCAGAAGCACACTGGCAAAAACATCAATGAGACGGCACGCGGACCTCAAAGCGTCAGGCATGCGACGGCAATGACTGTGATGATATTACAACAGCCCGAGAGACTGTACATACACATCTACGAAGAGATCGGCCAAGTGGGGAATACAACGGAGCCGAAACACTTGGGAACAGAGCTGAGCAAGGGAAATGGCAACAGCAACTTCACAGGACCGAGCCAAACCAAAATTCAACAGCATGCCAAAGCAAGCAAGTTCATCACAAACCACACACAATGCCGGAACAAAAAGAACAGAAAAAAGGCCAGGCAATGGAAACTACCGACAACAAGGGAACAAGACCGAGGCGGGAGCGGTCGGGGACAAGGTCGAATCAAGAAAGAGCTGCCAACCCAAAACGATAGCAAGCATGGCGGGGCGAATAGTCTCACATGAAAGTCACAGCCGGGGACATAACCCATCAAGAAAGTAACCCGGCGCGACCCCAATTAGGGGAATAACTTTTGCGAGGTAGAGACATGTGCAGTGATATGCAACGAGGTGTAGCACAGGAAGTGGCAGTCAAAGCCTTGCACAGCAACGCCATGCATGGCATAACACTGTCTAGCTTACCATGGTACACCAGCGCCGCATCTTATTAGGTAGCATAGCATAAATCGTCGCAATGATGCATAACAGCACACTGCATTACATTGCATTGAAGCCCAACACATTGTGCTTCGCTTTGCATCGTCTGAAAGAGCATGGCGTGCATAGCACACATTGCATATGGCAACATCGCACTGCATAGCATAGCACGGCATAGTACAACAACCTATAGCACAACATCGCGCGACGCTACCGTACCTTAACGTCAACATCACCATCATATGTAGAATGTGTCTTAGCAGGGCATAACGTTAGCATTGCATAGCCTAACATGGCACATCATGACATCTGCGCGGGCGACCAGCGCACAAGTCAGGAGGAAAAGACCTGACCGAGAAGCCGAGACAACACTTCTCTCCACAAAACAAATAAGAATCCTGTCGGCAAACCGGATTGAAGAAAAAACACATCAGGGCGGATGATTGAGAAGGACTAGCCGACAAGCAGAACTCGTGGAATCAGCCGGAATCATTGTTGATCTGACCTCTGGCTAGATTTGGATGTACAGAACACTTCCAATTGTTCTGAGGGTACCTGTAATCTGGGGCAGTCGCCCGCAGTTCCAAAGAGAGGGCCCCTGCAGTCCAGGGCGGTGTAACTGCAGTTTGGGGCGGCGGAATCTGTCTGGGGGAGGAACACATGGAGTCCAACATTAACGGCGTTTTGCGCCGAAGCGCCGGGATTGAAATACTCAAACCCTCCGAGATCTGGGACGTCTTCTACTTTCGGTTCATAACTCGAGTCTGGCGCGGCTGTTCAGGACGATCTGGGCCCCCTCGGAACGCCCTCGGCGCAGCGCAGCTGCCAGAAGGCATCCCGAGGCTGGAAACAGGCCGCGAACGGACAAAGACGCCCAGCTCGAGATCCAACGAAAGCTCCCGGTCATGTGCAAAAAGATCGCCCATCGCCAGAGATCCAGCGACGACGACCACCGTGGAGGGGAGCGATGGGCTACAAGGGGGAACGGGCTCAGAGGGGGGAACCTCGACCTAGACTTAGCGAAACATCGCCGACCGATCGGCGATAGCCCCCCGATAGCAAAACCGACCGTCTCTGGGCGGTGTGGGCTACGGCGCCCACATCGGCGATGATTGGGCGATCGAGGGCCAGCGCGACCCCCCAGTCCATCCCCTCGAACGTTGCCCCGGCTTTCGGAGCACGACTCGA